AAAAAAAAAAAAAAAAAAAAAAAGAATGAGACTCTGTTACAAACAAACAAAAACTAGCTCTTTTAATTCTCACAATCCTGAGATAGGTACTATTTCTATTTAATTTACAAAAACTCAATTATGTTTGCTGTGGAAAAATTAGAGATGGAAAGAGAAAGAGTAATAGTATATTAAATATTATTTTACTCACACAGCACAGGCCCCAGGTGTGTCGTGAAAGAGGTAAATCTGCTGTTCCCCCCATTGGGCTCAGTTCGCAGGTGCCTCATAAAATCTTCAGTGTGTGTGCATGTCGCCATACTAAGTATGGGTCTAGTGTGTAAGGATGTGTCTTGCCCCCAAGCAAGCCAATCTCTTTATCAGTTATCCATCAAAGAAACAGTATCTGTCCCATCGCTAGAGGAAAACTTGGCTATGCCACTGGGAGATGGTTCTATCCTTTAGGAGTGATAAAAAGGGTTTCCAAGGATAATTCTGATAATACATTTTTTGTTTGTTTGTTTGTTTTTTGTTTTTTTGAGACAGAGTTTCACTCTTGTTGCTCAGGCTGGAGTGCAATAGTGTGATTTTGGCTCATCGCAACCTCCATCTCCCAGGTTCAAGTGATTCTCCTGCCTCAGCCTCCTGAGTAGCTGGGATTACAGGCAGGCATGCGCCACCATGCCCGGCTAATTTTGTATTTTTAGTAGAGGGGGGGTTTCTCCATGCTGGTCAGGCTGATCTTGAACTCCCAACCTCAGGTGATCCACCTGTTTTAGCCTCCCAAAGTGCTGGGATTACAGGCGTGAGACCGCATGCCTGCCCTACACATGATTTTTTAGAGCCTTACCCTGGGTGCATTGTTGTTGTTGTTGCTGCTGTTTTGTGAGGGAGTTTTGCTCTTGTTGTCAAGAGTGGAGTCCAATGGCACAATCTTGGCTCACTGCAACCTCCATCTTCTGGGTTCAAGTGATTCTCCTGCCTCAGCCTCCCGAGTAGATGGGATTATAGGCGCCTGCCACTAAGCCTGGCTAATTTTTTTTGTATTTTTAGTGGAGATGGGTTTTTGCCATGTTGGCCAGGATGTTCTCGAACACCTGGCCTCAGGTTGATCTGCCCACTTTGGCCTCCCAAAGTGCTGGGATTACAGGCGTGAGCCACCATGCCCAGCCCTTAGGTAAGTTTTGACTGAACTGTAACTCATAGATAAGGTGACCAACCTTCTCAATTTGCCTGTGACTAAAGGGTTTTCTGGGATTGCAACTTCAGAGTTAAAACCAGGACATGTGGGTCACTCTACCACAAAATACATCTCTGTATCTATTGTGAGGGCTCTGTTGACGCCATGGTCTATTATATCATTCTTTATGAGGCTCTCAGGAGAAATTCTTGTCTGGTCTACATACCAAGAATAGTTGTATATCCTCTAAGGAGTAAGTGGTTTGTTTTTATCCTGTGAACACTGTGGACTGTGTGAGTGAGCAGGTTTCCCTTTTTGCCTTGGCTGCTGGAAGTCATAGAATTAAGTATGTGTGACACAAATTTAGCTGTGCAGGTCATTATGTTCCGTACTTTTTGTATCATTCCAGGCTCCACTTTTTCCTT